AGACACACACACAAGACACACAAACACAAGACACAAACAATGGACACCCGTACGCACACAACACGCATGCACGCACGCACGCACGCACGCGTACGCATGCACGCACGCACGCGCGCACGCCGCGCGCGCACGCACGCACACGCACACGCACACGCCCCCGCACACGCGCACGCACACAGACAGCTCGCACACACACACACACACGCAAATACGCCCCTACACACAGAGCTCTCACGCACACAGACAACACACACAACTTACACAGACTTAAGCAAAAACCCCACTTGCACACCCGCACACACCCACACACACACCCACACACACACACGCGACACACACACACACACGACACACGCACACACACACACATACCACACGCACACACACACACACACACACGTCACACACACACACACACGACGCGCGCGCGACACACACACACACACACACGACACACACACACACGCACAGACACGACACACACACACACACGCAAGACACACACAAGGCACACACACACACAAGACAAACACACAAGACACACAAACACAAGACACACGCACGACGCACACACACACACACAGAAGGCGCACACACAAGGCACGCGCGCAAGACACGCAACACACGCACACACACACACAAGACACGCACACACACACAAGACACACAAACACATGACACCGACACACGCAAGACACATTAACGCACGCACGCACGCACGCACGCACGAACGAACACACACACACACACCCACCCACCCACGCACGCCCGCGCGCGCGCACGCGCACGCGCACGCGCACGCGCACGCACACGCACACGCACACGCACACGCACACGCACACGCACACGCACACGCACACGCACACGCACACGCACACGCACACGCACATTCACATGCACTCGCACACGCGCACGCACACGCACAAGCACACGCACACGCGCACGCGCACGCGCGCGCGCACGCGCACGCGCACGCACGCGCACGCGCACGCACACGCACACGCACACGCACACGCACACGCACACGCACACGCACACGCACACGCACACGCACACGCACGCACGCGCACGCGCACACGCACACGCACACGCACACGCACACGCACACGCACACGCACACGCACACGCACACGCACACGCACACGCACTCACTCACACACACGAAACACACAGACACGCACACACAGACAGACAGACAGACAGACAGACAGACAGACAGACAGACAGACAGACAGACAGACAGGCAGGCAGGCAGGCAGGCAGGCAGGCAGGCAGGCAGGCAGACAGACAGACAGACAGACAGACAGACAGAGAGAGAGAGACAGACACACACACACACACACCCACCCACCCACGCCCGCACGCACGCCCGCCCGCCCGCGCGCCCGCCCGCGCGCGCGCGCATGCACGCGCGCGCAGAGACACAGACATACACACACACACACACTCGCAAGCACGCCCCAACACACACAGAGCTCTCACACAGACAACTCGCACACACTCACACAACTTACACACCACTTAATCAAACACACCACTTACAGACACACACACACACACATGCACCACACACACACACACTCACACTTACACTCAAAGCTACACTTACACTATGTGTCACACTCAATCTTACACTTACACTCTTACGGTGGCGCTTACTCTTACCCTTACGCTTACACTTGTACGCTTACACTGAGGCTTACACTTTCGCTCACACTTGCACTTACCCTTGCGCTCCCACTTGCACCGACACTTACACTTACGTTTTCGTTTTCGCTTATGCTTACGCTTACGCTTACGCTTACACCTATATATACTTACAGTTACACTGACACTTGCACTTACACTTGCGCTTATGCTCGCACACACCTGCGCACCTGTGCACACACGAGCACACACCTGCGAACCTGTTTACCTGCACGCCTGGACGCCTGGACGCCTGCACTCCTGCACTCCTGCGCGCCTGCGCGCCTGCACGCCCGCCCGCACACCCGCACACCTGCACACTTGCAGGCTCGCGCGCTTGCACACACGCACCCGCACGCACATCTAGAAATTCGGGGAGCTAAAGTCATCATCGTGAGACTCATGCTTTTCCGCGTGCAGATCCCGCTGACGGGCCCTGCCGCGGGCATCGCCTCGGCGCCCTTGAGCCGTGAGGGCGCGCCGCGGATGTCGCCGCCGTGTGGCGCGACCTGGGGTGCAGGCGGGGGCGCAGGTGGCAACGGCGCCTTCACCAGTGCCGCCACCATGCGGAGGACGGCGATCGGCGATTCCATGGTGCCATGTGTTATTGAGGCCTTTGCAGGTGTTAACGTGAGAGAGAGAGAGAGAGAAAGAAAGAGAAAAAGCAAATAAAGAAAGGAAAGAAGGAACACAAGAAAGAAACAGGTAAGACAATACAGAAAGAAAGAAAAAACAAAAGACAAAATGACAAAAGGTAAGAAAGGACAAATACAGCAAGAAAGAGCAAAAGAAAGAAAGAAAGAGGTATATATCTTCCAGGGGTTGCTTGTGACACACAAAGGAGTACAGTCAACATCACCTCGCTTGCGCGCAATCAACGTTTCTCATTTGCAGCGTTTTCTTCATTGATTGGGTATGGCAAAATCCCACTTGACTAGAGTTTGCTGAATGCATGACAAGCGTTCGAGGACACATGATTCCGCAGATGTTGCTGCCTTTGACAAAGAGCTGCCTGCGACTGAGCGAAGGGGCATACCGTTGCGAAGATAAGCAGAACATCCTGAGATTGCTCTGCTTTTGCAGACCTGGCGTTTGGAATTGGGTCGTGGTATCCCTACATTCCGCTGCCCAAAAAAAACAACAACAGTGGGTTCCTTTGCAATTGGGATTCTTGTCTTTTCAGGCTGCACCCAATCCGCCGAAGTGCCATAATGAGGATTCCTATTGAGGGAACCATAGCCCACATAGGAGCTTTGACCACGGCTCGTGTCCCTGGCCATTTTCAAGCGCATGGCTCAAGCATCCAGCATGATTTGGCTTCTCTTCGTGGCCGGGGCCGCGGCAGTCCCCGTGGTGAAGCTTAACAATGGCGTGGAGATGCCCGTCGTGGCCTTCGCAGCTGAGGTCTGGGATGCCAAGACCTGCGAGGCTGCTACGAGCTCCGCCTTGACCGCCGGATTTCGCTTCATTTGGTCGTCCACCCTCGTGGGAGACGCCTGCCAAGCGGCGCAGCTGCGCGCGATCCAGCGCAGCAACCTGAGCCGAGAAGAGCTCTTCGTGGCGGGTACGGTGAACGATCCCAAGTGCAAAGGGCTGCAAAGCTGCTACCAGCAGACAAAGGAAGGTGCAGAGAAACAGTTTACACTTCTTGGGCAGAAGGTTTTGGATATGCTAATGCTAGACTACCCGGCTGCCAACTGCAGCAGCATTCAAGGCCAGTGGCGAGCGTTCGAGGAGCTCTATACGGCAAAGCGAGTCCGCAGCATCGCAGTAAGCAACTTCAATCTGGAGCAACTGCATTGCCTTGCGAACGCCAGCGTGGTGCCGACAGTGAATCAGATGCGCTTTGCGGTGGGTCATGGTCATGATCCCGTGGTCTCGCAAGACAAAGCGCTCGGAATCCAAGTGCAGGCATACTCTCCTTTGGCCAAGGGCAAGCTGGCTCAGGACGCCTTGTGCGCTCGAATCGGAAGCGTTCATGGGAAGTCTGCCGTGCAGGTTGCTTTGAAGTGGATTCTACAGCATGGAGTGGCAGTCGCCACTCAGTCAACTAGTGCAGACCACCTTCGCAGTGACCTGGAGCTGTTCGACTTTGAGCTTTCTGAGCAGGAGATGAAAGAGTTAGATGCCCACACTCCTGGCGCAATAGTTGTTTAGCTTGGAGCAGCTTTGCGAATGCCATGGGGGGATCTTTGCCTTTGGCTGGTCCCGTTGGCATACGGCGTGGGACTCCGCCCGTGCATTCAACAGGTTCAAGAACGGGGTGAGCGGCGGCGCTGCGATCATTTCTTAGCAGCCTTTACAGTGTTGAGCATGCATTTGCGGTCACCAAAACACATGTAGAGTCCAAAGAGATGCCTTGACAGAGCTCATGGTCGCCCCTAAGTGCCGAAATCCTCCAACTGTGCCATGCGTTTCGGGTTTGCCTCGCCTTGAGCCCGGCCTGAGGCGTAAGCTCCGAGGGTCTACTCGGCTGAGGGCTTTCCTGGAGCCTCTGAAGAAGGCGACTCCGAGCTTTTTTTTGAGTAAAGGGGACATGAGCAATGAGCACTCACCAAATTACCAAAAACAGTTGCTCACGCATTCTCAGGTCACTTGGGGACGGAAGGACATTTTATCCCATTCCTCATGTGGAACCTTTGCAAGAAACAACTAGTGGAATGTTGCGAGTTACGAGTGAGCTGATCCAGAATGTGGTAGAATCCGGGGACTCTCAAGGAAGCTGACCTGACTGTGTCTGCTTGGTCCAAACTTCAAGGAAACTATATAGCAACAGACATGGACACTCCGGTGAGAACTTGTGATTTTGCGCCTGTGTTTAGGGATTCAACTGTATCCCGTGTTCCTGTTCTGAGCTTGGAAGGCTTGGGGATATTCGGTTGCTCGGTTTGGGTGCAGGGCGAACCCTGACGAATTGTTGGTCTCCTTAGTGTTTGACGTGTCACATGGCTTTGACACAAAGCTTCGTGCCTTGCGTCAGAAATCTTGTTCAAAATAGGCCCCCTAGAAATGTTTGCTCCCTGTGGATTTCATTTGACCACCAACCCAAAAGGGTGGATCATTTTGAGAAGCCTCTATATTGCCAGCCGCATTGTTTGCCATGGAAACGACCACGTGAGAATGCCCTGCAGTCCGGATCTGCCACGGGATCTTGCTGCTCGATTTGCCCGACTGCCAGGGCATCTTGCAGGAATGGCTGCGATCCGTGAATTGGTCTTCGCAAGGCTCCAAGCAGGAGACCTCGTCCGAGTCGACGGGAAGATTTCTCGCCATTTGCTTGAATTCTAAATTATTAGCTTATTTTCCTCTGTTGGTTTTAGAGGGACGCTATCACTACTGGACATACGTCTTGTGTCAGAGGACTTGAGCAAATGGAGGTTCAGCATGATCAGATCATCTAATTGGTATTGCAATCTTTGAATTGTGCGTGGTTGGGTGAGATGGCAGGCCTCTCCTTTGTCGTGATTGTTCCAGCTCCATCACATGCGCGTGTGTCCACCGCTTTTGTGATATTGCCGGCATCGCAGGCTGCTATGCTTTTTCATGCCGCCGTGGCAGGACTTGGTGGAAAGAGTGATATTCATTCGTGAGGCAATGGTCAGTTGAGAGCATTCATAAATTCGGAATGCGCGCTGCGTCTCTGTGCGCTTGGGGATTGCTAGCTGCACGATTGCTCTGAGCGGACCATTGAAAAGCACAAGACAGCCAAGTGAGACAGCTACCCCAAAGACGTGAAGATAACCCTCGGCATCATGAGCGCCAGGCTGAATCTTGCAAGCAGAAGGTCATCAACAAACAGCTGCAACCAACAAGTCAAAGCTTTAAGTCTACTGAGGCCCCGTTTCCCCCATGGGGGGCGAACCCACCGGAATTGTTTCATGGAGGAAGAGAGTTCATGGGAAATGGCAATCGCAGCGAGTGTGCCTTGCCGACTGATGGGGGAATCACCATCGGCATGGCCTTCCGTTGTGCTGGACAACGGTTTGGAGCGAAAAAGGTTCGACGGGGAGTTTATTCTGTCAATCTATAGGGTAAAATGAAGTTGATCACCTTCATTCAAATCAGTTGTCATGGCAGGTGACCAGGCGAACTGGTCAAACTGCAGACATTTTGTGTGGCCGGCAGAGCGACTTTTGTTGCACGAGTGTCATCTTGCAACACCATCATGTCCGCTCGATTGGTGGCTTACGTTCAGCCTTCTCGAGCAGGGAAGCGTGCAACGCAGCCAACCATGACATACTGAGCGCCCGTTGTCGGCACACACCAGCACAGGTCCATTCTCACCATGCGCAGCCACAAGCTTGGACAGGGCGGTTTTGTTTGAACTGTACTCGATCCCACGGAACTTTGAAAGATGTTGTTGGTCGACACAGCGACGCATCTTGGCATCAGATGGGCACCTTGCCGAAGCTGCCATGGGCGCTCTCGCGTGCGCGCTGTTCGCGACCGCCGTCCTTTGCTCAGCGCAGGAGTTCCCAAAGGTGCGGGCCAGCTGTGCGGTCGGATGTGCTCGTCGCGGCTTCTCATATTACTCTCGGTGTTTCTCGTTGATTGCGACCGTTGCAAAGCTAGGGACCCACAGTGGAGGCATTTGCAAGGAAAAGCTCAAGTCTGGCCTACTTTCATTTGGGTTTGTCTCAAAATAGGCGAACCCCTCTTTAGATGGTGTTAAAGGGACACTGGAAGGAAATCGGCCATCCTAGGGTTCCTTCATTTTGAGAAGTATCCATTTGTGCTTCGCTGGGATCCCGGCAGGGGCTGCTGGCAGTTGAGCCCGCAGATGCAGATGATGCGGTGAAGCACTTCGTGGATAGTCACATGGCGCCTGAGCTACCAGTTGTCCGAGATTTCCTGGGGTCATTTCGGGAAAAGATCCTCAATCCTTTTCTTAGAATAACCAGCCAGTGAACGTACGGAGAAGCCAACACCTTGGGAGGAGGCTTGCTATTAAGCAGATTTCTGTACCTCAAGTTGAAACCTGAAGACCTGAAGCTTTGCTGGCCTGTGCATGGTGTGCATGGCTTCTTGCTCCCTTCAGCTTACCTCAAGGGCGTCAATATATGTGCCATGGTCAAACATGGGCTTGATGGTGATGGTTGTCCATTAGTTGCGACCATTCGAAGCCCATGACGAAATCGCGAATGGAGCTTTTACCACGGGACATATGGGCGCTACAGCTTTTTCAAGTTGACGGTTGTTCGAGGCAGCCAAGAGAATGCCAGCCATATTTGCCACGAGCCTCCCTTCAATCTATGGGGCAAAGACATTCGGGTTCTCAAAATAGGGGAACCCCCAAACATGTTTCTTCTCTCTCCTTCGGCTCCTTCTCCCTCTCTCTCACTCGTTGCCAATTTGCGCAAGGAGCCGCGGCACGCTGTGGCGGTGGCGGTGGTGCCGAAAGGCTCCAAGCGGCACAACCTGCTGCTGGAGCTTGGAGAGGATGAGGAAGGGAGCTGTTGCAATAACTGGGGCCAGCTCTTTCTGCATTGCAATAACTGGGTTGTCCTTTTCGTAGTTGACACTTTCCATTGGTTTTCTGGGACAGGGGCGAAACATCAGTTGCTCGTGCTTCCAGAGTTGGCAGGACTTGCGACACCTTCTTGCCATTGGAGCGCTCTTCAAGAAGGGAAGGTGCGCCGGTAGATTCATAAACCGGGAATGTCGCATGTGACTTTCCTGGAACCTAGTGCGAGGGTTCTTGATTCATTTTGAGAGCCGGACACCTCAATTTTGGGATGGGAGTTGTTTTGCGGTTTCCTCCACCGGCTTTCCATAAGTTGCAGGCAGTCTTGCGAGTGCTCGCAGGACGTCGCTGGTGGTGCGGGGCTTAGCGACGCCTTTGGTTTTTACCATGCAGGGTTCACAGCTCGGCGTGCAGCCAGACCAGATTTTATGGGAAACACTGCTGTTGAACAGGCTGATCACTCACTTGCCAAGCCGGTGAGCATCCCAGGTGCACAGATATCACTACGATGCTCTCGCCTACGAGGGTAAGTGGAAACTTGGCAAGGAGTGGCAGGGTGGAATGGTATGGGGTTGGAACGCAGCCACTGACTCATCCTGGAAACCGACCTGGAGCCAGTCGAAAGCCGAATATTTGCTGCTCAGGACACGAAGCGCCATCTCCTCTTGGCTGCAAGAAGTTGCTTTTCCACCGGTGAACTATTTGCCGCAGTTTGCCCCCACCAAGTTTCTGTCGCAGACTCAGTGCCGAGGGACAGCCACTGATCTCCCAACAATGCAGCAAATAATGATATGTCTATGAAGTTTAAACGGGGACTCCGAGAACGGTTAAGACTCATGTAAAACTGTCGCTATTGGCACAATGCCATTGGTGATTGCATCATTACGAGCATGCTTCCAATCGCAGAGGCAGAATTCAGTCTGAGCATGTGGGAGTTGGCAAGCAATTCGGCTAAAGCCATGGAATCTATGGGGAGCTATGGGGAGCTATGGGGAGCTATTGGGAGCTATCCCAGGAGCCAAGGATAAGCCCTTGACAGGCGATCGCCCCTCCGCCCTCCCCCCTTGGCCCCCGTTTAGATGTCCCAACTCGCAGGTCCCAAGGGGCTCGTGATGGCTCGTGCATTCAGGACGCGGAACCCCTTTGGAATTCTGCTGGTGGTGAAGCCCGGGCACCACAGCCCAGAGTTGGCCAAGGCCCGGGGGCCCAGGGTATGTCTTTCGGCGTGCCTCTTGGGGACCCCCCCCCCCTTCCCCCCTTCCCCCCTTCCCCCTCTTTTTGCTTTTTGGCAAAGAGAAACCAATAGGGGAAGCTGCCCTACTCATTTTGGGGGTTCCAGTTTGAGACAAGCCCACAGGCCTTGGGTTTGGACAGGTTGGATACCTTTGGCGCAGACACGTCACCAAGCCACCTTGAGCGGATCAGGTCTTTGGATGTATCTCCCAGGCACCATTGGAAGGGACGCCAAATTTGGAAACCCAGGATGTTTTGGGGAGTTCGGAGGCGCTGGAGCCGCATGCTGCGCGCTTGAAAGACAAGCTGAAGGACCCGGGACCGGGGAGCTGTGGACAAAATCTGCGTCGAGTTGGGATGGACCCGATCTGAATGGTTGATAAACCACCCCACTTGTGGATGAAGCCGGCAAATTTGCCTGGCAGGTGTCCTTCTTTGCTCGAACTCCTTCTACTCAGCAGCTGTGTGAGATGTACGGGGCGCCTTGCCATGACGCCACACCACGCTGCATGTGTGTCGGCGGTTGCATAAGTCAAGATCGTTTGGTGGGAGAGAGCATGGCGTTGAGTAACTTTCAATCCAGATTGGTTGAGCCGAGGTCCGATCTTCCGACGAGTTCTTGCTCATCGAGCGGCCCAAGGAGCCGATGGATTTCCGGGTGCCCGCCGAACCCATGGGCCTGTGGCCAACTGAAAGACCAGACAGGCATCAAAACCTTGGCCAGTGACCGCTTGCCAAGGTCCGCTCATCTTGCAGTCTGTTTTAGTGGCGACGGTGCCTCTGAATTGACCCAAGCAAAAGGTCAACACGAGCAGAATCTTTGCGGGAGAGCCTCCACTGCGAGGAGGGTGGATTGGCCAAGGGCCACAGCCATGTGCCGAAGTCGCCAAAGTACCGTGTTGAGGCTCGGATGCACCTGAATGCAGGTCAAAGTTGGTTCTTTGCTCCTTTTTGGTTGGTCAAAAGGAGGCGCAGCCAAACCAGCCATTTTCCGGGCTTTGTCAAGTCAGGACCCCCACCCCCCCAGGCGATTTGTGATTTTTGAAAAACACCAGACCAGATCTCTTCATCAGATCTCCTTATGGGTCCTTTCTTGAGGGTGCTGAAAAGGCGTTGATTGGAAGGGCACTTTTCTTTTGCAGAACGTCTCCGCGGCGGATGTGGACCTGTTCTTCAAGCAGTATGAGTCAGGTCTGCGGAAACATCCCGAAGCCCGCAGGGGATGCGCCGTCTCCAAAGGCTGTTTCCCTCAACCGCCACCAACCCCTCATATGACCCCTATGTATGTTCATCGTGTGGCATCAACCCCTATGTTCATTGTTTTTATGCCAAGACAACTACAACGATGGCAGCTCACTGGAAACACAAGGCCAACATTTGGCCAATGAGCTGTCGGCAAAGAGATGACCGGACCTTCCACCTGGCGTCGGGTTCCACCATATAGTTATTGGGAACTCCATCTCCAACACACCCCGTCAACTGAGATTTGGGTTTAGTTGCTTTTGGGTTCAACTGAGAGAGTTTAGGGTTTGGATTGGGGCACAGCTTCGAACTTCTCAACATGCTGGGGATTGTGCGCTTTGCATGGTGCCAGATCAAATTACACAGAACGGGGCTCTGAGGAAAATGCTAGACCGCTGCCAACTTTGAATTCTGGCTCGTGGTGGTCCTGTCAACATTGCTGGCCCTGTTTGAGGATTCCCGATCACGGGAAGCCCCCGGACTTGTTGTGCTTCCCGACGGCATGTCAATGAGTCGACTTTGAGTGCGTTTGGGCTAGAGCTGTCAGGGCAGCTGCCAAGATATTTGATGTCTTCCAAAGCGCCGGGGTCCTAGACGTGGCATTTACGAGGCTTGGCCGCTTGCGGTCTGATTGCGTTGGCTACAAGCAGTTTACAATGAGCTTTGCAAATGACTGCAATGACCTGCACACTCAGGAAGGCCGAGCCCCAGATTCAGGAAGGTCTGCGAGAGCTCACAGGCAAGATTGGGCAGATTTCAACGGAGTGGTCCACCTGAGGACGAAAAGGGATGGTCATCAACGCTCCCCCCCCGCAATCACGTTTGGCAGTGCCGTTTGCCGTGCGTTGTTCAACCTGGCAGGTTGGGACTTTCTGGAGGTTGTGCAAGATCCGAAGGCGCGCAATCATCTGCCCCCACGTCATCAAGTGTTCTCACACGGCGGTTCTTTGTGTTAAGCCGCTTGCTTCTGTTTTCAAGAGTTCAGTTCATGCACGCCGGATGCTCGTGAGTTCCATTTGGTGGATGTTTGGGTGGGGGGGGGAGAAATTCTCGGGCCTTTGAGGTGTCCGTCCTGGTGGAGTTTGTGAGCGGCTTGGCAGCAGAGCCACCAGTGCATGTCAAAATCGGGATTTGGCCCCAAAGATTCGGCCTTCCTTTTGGTCTAAACCATTTTCTGCGCTGAGGCGAGAAGTGCGAGGCGGGGAGTGGCGGTTCGCCTGGGAGGTCAGCAAATGAAGTTTCAGTTGCGCCGCAAAAGTGGCTTGAAGCTCGTGGCTTTGCTTTCCGTGCATGACATGGATCCTAGCCCAAACAGTGATTCGTCTAAACAAGGTCAGCCCGGGAGCCAAAAAACCACGTGTTGCAGGGCCCGCGCAACGGGTTGATTCGCAAGTGGCCTCTTCGACCGTGGTCTTTGATGCACGGTACCGCACGGTACCGCCTGGCCATGCGTTGCGGAAGAGGCTCAGCTTCAGTGTTTTGCGGCGGCCGGGTCCGCGCGTGCGCCTTGGAGCCCTTCGTGCTTGGCTTGCTTTGGCCCCTAGGCGCGCGCACCCCTCCCCCCCCATGTGGCGGGCGCGGTTTGTGCCGCTTCCCAACGGCGCGGCCACGCAGCCCGAGAAAGCAACGCAGCCGCTGTGTATGCGGGCGGCGCGGACGCGATACCGCGCTCAGCGCAACCCATCAGCCCACCGTCGTCGCAGCCTGTCAAAAGCCATTTCCCCACAGCGCACGCCGCGGACACCACACCGCCCATGTTTGGCGTGACCTTAGAAGGGACATGACAAGGGGTGGTTTTTGGAAACAAAAGGGAAAACCGAAGCCACATTGGAGGGGTCCCCTATTTTAAGACGCCCACAAACATCCGCAGGTAGAACCAAAAGTCAACTCGAGTTTTGGGCACAGCTTTGGAAGGCTTGCGAAGAGTTCGATGCTGCCTACCGCGAGGTGCGCGGGATATTTTTCTATTTCAGCATCTAGCAACAAAAAACTGGAAAGACGCCTAGCATTTTTTGGTGGAGACAAACCCAAAGTTTTACTCGGGCAGGATTCTGGTTTTTGGAGCTCAAGAGATTTGTCCCCTTTTGGTTTTCCTTTAAACCAACCTGAACGGGATGCCCTGATGCAAACACACCCAGCAGTTGGAGAGCCATGGAATTATCAGCTGGCTTCCTGGGTTGGTGTTCTGACACCTTCCCTTGCCTCTCCGCTGCAAGTTTCTTCCAGTCTGCTCGCATGCTCGCTGCTTAGGTGGCACGGCGGGTGCTGCATCGCAAAACGCAGCGGGGCCGCAGCCCCTCCCTGCTCGGCGGCTCAGTACCGGCGCGCCTCCAAGAATCTGCTTGCGCCCAGTGCCATTGGGCTTGCACCGCAGTAGCCGCATTTGAATGCTCAATGGAACGATCACTAAAAACCGCGAAATGGGCTTTTGAAAGGACGCATCTCGGATTCTTGATGGCATCCATGAGCTGGCTGTAGAAACAATGACTCACTTTGAATATCAACAGATCAAGTCATGTAAGTCATTTTTGTTGGTGTTGAAAGAGGTGGTTGGCGTTTTCACTGGCATTCGACTTTTGGGCTTGAGGTCGCGCGTAGTCATCGCTCGGATCGATCAGCCCGGGGACCCAAGAAAAACTTCAAAACACACACACACACACACACCGAACAAGTGAGAAGTGTGTGTGTGTGTGTGTGACACGCGTATATGTGTGTGCTGTTTGAGGCAACCCTTTCATGTTGGGTTAAAGGGAAACCAAAAGGAAAGCCACCCCCCATTGCTTGGGGTGCCCATATCCTGCACCAGTTGGATTGGGGTATGAACCAATATTCATGGAGCTCCCTCGTGCGAGTTGGATTTTGTCCATGGTATGACAGGAGGTTCTGTCAAATTATCAAGCAGATGGCCAATTTGGCGGGCGCATGCCGGACTCGCGAAATTGCTCACAAGAACCCGGCAACTGTTCCTTTCATTTGTCTTCTCTCACAGCCCCCCATTCAGGGTATGGCAAATTTTGAGGCGTTCCATTTCTTCCGAATAAGGACTTATTCGTTATATAAAACAGAAGAGGGTTTTATGTGTGAGGAAGCTGGGGGAGAGCTATAGGCGCCCTCCCAAGTGGCACTGTTCCCTCCAAGAGATTGGGTGATCTTCAAGGGCAGGGGAAATTTCAAGCGTCGGGAGATTGCGGTTTTACACCATGTCACACCATGTGTAACGTAGCGGTGCTGTTGGAGTACAAGTTCTTGGAGTTTGCAAGTTTGCAAGCTGGAGACCTGTGCGTGGTTCCTGGACATGAAACAAGAGATTCGGACTGAGACTGCCACGCCAACTGCGTTTCCGCTTTCCCTAGACCAACATGTGCCCAGGTCAGCCAATGAGCACACCGAGCTGATCAAGGCGACTTCAAACGGCTCACACCCGAATCGAAGCACGGCTTACCATTGGTTACCATTGGCTTGGTGATTCCTGGAGGTTCCCCATTGCCAACAATTCGTGGGGGATGAATGATCCGCACCCAAGGGCGCACTCAAGAGCTCTCCGAGTTGCTGGCATGCTTTTCCTCCAAATCATGTCAGAAGTGTCAGACAGCATGACCTTTTTGACCGTGGCATGGAGAGCTGGAGAGGGACCTTTGAGCCGGTCGGGGCTGAGCATGTCCGCATGCATGTCACGTGTGAGCTTGCTCCCGAAGACCCTGTTCGACCCTGTTCGACCTCAGCATTGCGAAGCTTGCCAGTCGTTTGATGCTCCGCATTGCTGACCTTTGGCGCCCTGAAGACCCTCCCGGGCGCCCCATGCCAAAGACAGGTGCTTCAATATGGGACTTTGGAACCAGATGCTAAGACTATAATTTGTCAAACACCACTTAAGACATATTAAAAGGGGCACCAACCGAAAGCACACACCTGTTGCAGAGAGTCCCATGTTTCAGGCCCTGGGCTCCCGGATCGCAACCCAGGCCCCCAGCCATGCTCCAGGCTTCCCTGGTTTTCTTCCCAACTCGCTGAAGGATGAAAACCGCTACTTCTGACCAACTCCTTTCGAAATGGGCCAACGAAACCTTCGTAAACGAGACGTCCGATGCAGGGCACGCCCTGGCTCCGCTTCTGGCCTGCTTCGGCTATGAAGAAACCCGTAGAAGTGGAGTTCCGGAGTGCGCCTCGTCCCATGAAACTTACAACCAAAGGCCAACACGTTTCTTTGGGTTTGGTTGGGCTGGCCAGCTCTGTCCCCAAGTGCAGAGCTTTCGGCAACAATGACAACGCTTCCCACCAAGAGAGCCATGACCATGATCAAACACCATGCAAATATGGGCATGTGCGAAATTGCGGGATTTCACATTGTTACTTTCCTTTTGTCCTTTACGCCGCCCCAAAAGGGGGCACCATACAAGGTTGTACTCTAACTGCCAGGTTTTCAGAGGGCTTTTGCTGAAAGCGCACACTCATTAGTAGCATGTATTGGTCTGTGACATGGTAGTACTACAGGAATGTCAATGACATGGGCGCACTTTTCGATTGGCGAGCAGACATATGCTGGGCTCGCTGTCCGCGCATTATGAGAGGGCGTGTAAAAGCAGTGGATGCCGCAAACAGAGTGACAGGTGGCATAATTACTCGAGTCGAGATGTTTGCTGGCTAGCCCAGGTGGACACGATATTGGACTTTCTTGATGAGCAGGACTCCAATTGGGCATGCGAGGGGTGACATGAGGCTCTTGAGGCTGCCCAGACCACCGCTTTCCATTGTCTAAAGCCTCTGAGAGCCTTGGTTTGAACCCCCGCAGCCTGTCTTTAGACATATCGGGGGTTCAAGCTGGCAGGGATGGAGATTCACTGCACTTGGCATTTGCGAGAGGAAATGGCGCTGGAGGACTCTGAAGAGGCCCGTCTGCGAGCTCAATGGTCAGGGTGCGGAAAACTGCCACGAAGTGGGCCACAAAGGTTCCCTAATCTGAAAGTAGTCCTCCTACACTTTCCTGTCAGCTTCCATGATTGTTAGAGGAGGGTACATTGGAAAGCAAAGGGATGCAAGGCAGTTGATGTCAAACTCGCGAGATGTGCAACCGGAAAGGCATGCTTGAGGTTCTTAGGGTAACCCATTGCTTACGTGGATTTGGAAGGTAGCGACGATCATTGGCAACATGTAGGGTGTCAATCTCGCTGATGAATTGACTGCTGAGTCTAGTCGCTGTATTCCAGTGTTGTTCTTCGGGGGGGGTGGGCATGAGTTGCTGTGGATTTTCAGCAGCTATGCAAGGTTCGGCGGTTTCCTACTTGTTTGCAACATTTGGTGTAATTCCAGTCAGCCCGTGTCACACAATATAGGACATTCTAAACAGGATGACCATGCGAGCATGCGAGCAACTGACAGGAACCGAGAAAGCGCAAGCCCGCGAAGGAGCTCTGAGGCTCTGATGAAAGATGTGCGGAGCTATGCCCAGTGAAAAATCAGCGGTGCATCGCGACGTGAGCGCAACACTGTCATAGCGCATGCCAGGACCGTCAAGCAAGGGAAACGTTCCGAACGAACTTCCGAATCGGCGCCTGACAAATGCCTTGCTATTGTGACCAGCTCCGCTCACACACGAGGGAACTGCGAGGCTTGGCACGAACCAGCGCCATGTGGCGGGTTGGTTCAATTTGGCTGCCCAGACTTGCACACACTGCCGCAGCCTGACTTTGGCAGTCTTCGAGTGGTGGCACAGACGAAGGGCCGTGTTCCATCCGTACGTATGAGGCTGTTGGGCCGTTGCCGGCAAGGACAGATCTCAGGGGCGGTCGAACGTCACGCTGCGTGCTGCAGCTCTTGCATGTGCCTTGTATCTCCCGCATCCAAATTGTAGACGAAGGCTAGTCAGGGACAGTCCTAACCACTAGACCCTCGAATACCAGCTTTCGACTGTGGCTCGCGTAGAGTCGTGCCTTTGTCCTATGGTCCCTGGCAGCCACTTTCTAACAATTGGTTTGCTTCCATCACTATGCTGTGTCGGCTTGCAACTGGATCCAATAAATGATATGGGACGAAGTCAACAAGGTCATCCCAAACTGCAACAGACACGCTCCTGCTGCGACTGTTTGTTTCCCAGGATTTGCTCTCCTTGTAAGATCTGCTCAGCATGGCACGCCAAGGCCCCCGCTCTTTCTTGAAACACTGACTATTGCTGCCTACCGACTCGCCGATGCATTTTGGAGCAACCCTATGCGTCCAATAGACGTGTCCGCTTTGGACGAAGTCGACGCGAGGCGGCATGCAAACCAGCCGTCCCAACTCCAAACGCAGACATAGACCATCCTCCAAAGCAGCTGTAGGGTGGGTGCTTTCCTCCAGTCTCCACGCCTCCACCCGGCATGCCGTGCATTCCTGGATGGCTGTGTGGTGTGCATCCCGCATTGCGCGTGTGTGACTGCTTCGATGCCTTGCGGGCCGCACAGCTCGATCCTCTTGGTGCCCGCCGGTCACCATGGCCGCCCCCGTCTCGACGAAATGATATATATGTGTATAATCCGTTATAATCCTGTTGGTCGACAGCACCCTTGTCTAACCCCTGAGACATCAGTTGTGTTTTGTGCACGGTGCCAACCTGCAGCGGAGCCACTGAGCTCTGCTTGCAGCGCTGCCTGGCTGCTCTTGCCGTTGATCATGTTGCTCACCCGCGCTTTCGCTGCTCATTGCTTGATGGTCCGCGACCTTCACCGCCAGCACCCACTTTTTCTGAGTTCCTGCTCCGCAGCAACACCCCAAACAGTTTTTTGAAGCAGCTTTCGTCCCCTTGCCAATTGCGTGGCAAGGTGACCTCCCTCTTGACCTAAATATTTGTCAGCTTGTTGCGCTCGCAAACTTTGTCGTGCAGCAAGCGCAGCATCCCAGACCATAGACATTTGGTTTTTGAGCTTTGCTCTGTTCGAGTCAGAACGCGGGGCTGACTACCGCTACGGTCCGATAGGGACGCAGGCGCAAGAAACACATACAAGAAAATCAGGGGCAACATCCATTGGAACAATCCGAAATGCTGGGCAGTTGAGGATCGTTATCCCTCCAACTCATCCTCATCAAATTTGCGTGAGCTGCTGATGCTACTGCTTAGACTCGAGCCGCGGAAATGGCAGGAAGGCAGCACGTCCCAAAGGGGCCCTGCGAAGTGGCCGGCTTGCAAAGGAGAATGGCCTTGAGGGCGGTGGAGCTGTCGGCGATGCGCAAGCCACACCGCCTGGCAACGGCCTCGGCGAGGTGGAAGGCGAGCAAGTCCCAGAAGGCAATCGACGTTCCTGCCTGCGCTCCTTACGCCATGTCATTTCTCGGCCTGCGTCGAGTCCATGGCAGGTGTGGCCACACCGTCCAAAAACACTGGGCTGCGCGAGTCGCCGATGGTGTGTGTTGAGCCAAATTTCAGACGCTGAACATGCCCGTGTCATTTCAATGCCCCTTTGATTGTTTGCACACTGCTTGGCCGACGCATGTCAATCCATTTGCATGCGACAATATGCGTCTGACGTGCAGCCCACTCGCCTTCCTCGAGCAAGCGCGTTCTTCAGTCGAGCTCCGTCGACTTGGTCGACCACAAGGTTCAGATCGGCAAGGCGGGTGTTAACGGTGACCCGCGCGCCAACCTCTCTGCACACCAGCTCACTTGGCAGGAGCGTTTGTGGAGAGGATAGCCGTCCTGGACGCATTCAAGCTCAGGCCGACGTCAATCCGTGCATATGTGAGCAGCGCCATAAACCCTGACAATACAAAGTAGTAAAGGGGGGTGTCTTATAGAATCCCCGCCAAAGCCAAAACGCAGGCCGCGAAAAGCTTGCAAAAGCTTATCGCGAAAGTAACCGCGAAAGGCCGGCGAAAGCCTGCATGCTGTGTGCCAGTCCGCCGCGAAAGCGTCGCGAAAGCAATTCTAAAGAAGACAAAACCCCGAAAGCAAAACATGGGGTCGCGAAAGCATTGCGAAAGGGTCCGCGAAAGCAAGTTCATAGGACCGAGTATTTGGCACGGCTCATACCGAGAAGCAACCAGCTGATGCCCTGGCAAAAGTTGACAAGCTGAATGTTCCCGACTTTCTGAAATTTTCGGTGACTTCTTGAGTGGAATATTCTTTCGTGGCGGCCCCTGGCCTGGAGCCTGGATGCGGATCAAGCACGGCGGCAGCCTGCAGCCACGCCTGCCCCAACACAGGTGATTCGCTACGCCGATCACGACGCCCCGGACAACCAAGGGGAAGCGTTCCGAGCAGAGCAGCTCGGGACGCAGGCGGCCACACCTCGCATGTGAGTGGAATCACAGATGGCCGCGTCCGCCGCGGACTAGCCTGGATCCCGTCGATGTTCAGGCCCACCTCCGTGCACCTTCCAATGCCCCCCTGCTTTTGTAAAAGGCTAAGTCCGCCTTCCCCTCGCTTTGCACGCAGTCCTTGAAGCGGGTGACCCTTTCGCAGCCCTTCGAGCTTGGAACGCCGGCTTCCCAAGCAGTGCGACTTGCGGCCTTTCAGGAAGTCATTGGACCCAACTCCTTGACGTGCGCCGCTCCTTGCCACTGGGGACCGGCCCCGACCCGCTCTCCCGTCCGAGGTCCTGTCTTTCCAGTTGCCGGGACATCCTAGTGCCCTTGGTTTAGGTCGCCTGGTCGCTCTGCAAAGCCGTGTGGGCGCATGGACCTTGGCTCGGCGACACTCCCGGGTTGGAAAAGCACCGTTTGGGTTGGGGACCTAGGGCTGCCACAGCGACCAGTGCGGATTTGTCGTTTTTGGCAGCTGTGACTTTGTCGTTTCTCTGCTCCGCTCCCTCAGTGAAACCCATGCTGCCCTGCTTGGCCAGCTCCCCAGCCTTCCCGATCTCCAGGCAGGACGCCCATTATGTGCTCCGCGTGTTGCCCCTGAGCAGTCGCAGTTGAGCACGACTGCTCCTTGCAGATCTGTTTGGCCGGTTTGCTGGAGTTCGAGCCGCCGGCTTCGCTTCCCCCAATTCCCCTTCCGCCGCGGCGGCCTTGGGCTCCGCAGCCACGCGCGCGCCGCCTAATTACTGGGCCTCGCGGGCAAACTGTTTCCCTGCACTAGCGGCCCGTGCGCCCGATGTCCTGCACCTCTTCCCTGTTGAGCTCGCCGCGCCTTGGCCCAGCCCCTCGCGTTCCGGACTACCCGCGATCAGCTTCCGATGCCGGCTGTTTCGGGCGATGCCGCCTGCCAAGTCCCCTGGTGCCCGGGGAGCCAACCCCCTTTGAGCATAGTGTGTTTTTTTATTTTTGGTTGGGAGGGGGGACCGTGGGCAGACGGGCGGGTGGAAAAAATAATATTATGTTTGCATTGTTTTTTTCAGGGTAGCTGCTATCTCGGGCGGGTTTTGGCTGCTGTCTTGCTGCCTTGCTACCTGGTAGCGGGGTAGCTGGGCAGCGCACAAAGTTCCCCACTTGCTGCTGCCATGCGAACGAGGTAGCAGGGCGGGGCAGCGGAGCAGCGGGGTAGCGGGGCAGCGGGGCAGCGGGGCAGCGGGGCAGCGTGGCAGTGTGGCAGCGGGGCAGCAGGACGACGTGGCAGCGGGGCAGCGGGGCTGGGGGGCAGCGAGGCATGTAAAACATTCGCTTACACGAATATCCTGTCTGCAGCAGAAAAAAGTTAAAACTTTTTGCCGCCAATAAGACCATGCCTTTGGCGAGGTCCGTTTGTTTCGGGGCCTACGGCTGGCCAGAGATGAAAAACGTGCATTCATCCAGCGGTGTGTCGAACGGGCGATACAGACTGAGTGGCTTGCTCTAAACGTGTGGCTTTTCTATGAAACGCTGCAATAGCACGATGGGCTTGGACGGCAAAGCAAGACGCATGTCGAAGTGTACTGGCTCTAGAACGCAGGCACGGGCTCCTGCCTTTCATCCCGCCCCCAAGAAGGTCGACAATGACGCCAGCAAGCGTCAGGAACGGGAAAAAGATAATGACACGATTTGTCGAAATAATGAGGCAGCAAAGAAGCAACGTGGCAATATTACACATAGAACATGCAAGCCTGCGAAAAGTGGTCAGCTCTGTGATGCCCACGGCCCCTCGAGCCCACCGTGGGCCCTCCTTCGGTTGCGTTCGCAGCAGCCCCTGCTTGCTCCCTCTCAGCGCGAAGTGGAAACTTTCCGATCGGCCAATCACTGTGACCACCGCGCGGGCCAATGTGCAAAGCACAGCCACGAAATCAGAGCCGGACAGTGTCCACTGAACAGCCGGGCAAACCCAACGCGCAGGCAGCGCCGGCTAATCCAGTCGCCCCCCCCGCCCCCACCGAGCGCCAGCGCGCGGGGCGATCCTGTCCAAGCCATGTGAAAAAAACAACTTGGCGCAGGAGTTGCGCAGGAGAGTCTACATGCAGCAGCCGGCCCCCGGCCCCATGCGCGGCGCCATGAAGAACGCGCTGGCGGCGATACCCACGCTCCGCGGAAGGCTGGAAGCTTTCCTTTTTGCCCCGCGCATGTTGCT